AAAAAAAAAAAATCCTCTTACCCAGGTAACAAGACTCTGTTGGCCTTTGGGCATAGTATGATCTACCGGCTTTCGACCTGTCAGAAGTTCTAAAAGAACAACTCCAAAGCTGTACACATCACTTTTCTGAGTTATCTGCCCTGTCATTGCATACCTAATTCGCGGCATTAACGTTAGAACTTTTAAGTAAAACCGAGCTTTTAAGTTTTAACCAAGTTAAAGCCAAAGACTTTACAAGTCTAGTTCAAAGCAGTTATGCTCCCATCTTATTTTCTTGCTGAAATTAGAATCTGTCTGTAAAATAAATCCATACAGCTAAAAAAGACCCATTTTTTTCTCAAATGTATCGAAACTCACTCGGGAGCATGGTATCCGAATGTTCCAAGCACTCTAGTCGAGTGCAGACGAGCAGCAGTATCCGAGGACTGGTTGGTCATGCTGAAACCGGCTATCTTAGCCATGAAATCATCAAACAGAAGCACATTGCTTGATCTTACATCACGGTGAACGATCGACGGCTGACATTTCTCGTGCAGAAACTCGAGCCCTTTCGCAGCTCCATATGCTATCTTCACTCTCTGATTCCATGTAAGAACGGGACCCGGTTCAGCCCCTTGCACCCCTTTCCTGCCTGCAATAAAAGAAATAATAAAATACAAACACGACGAATCAAGAAAATACGATTTATTTTATTTTTTTTATCTTCTTCTATTCACATACCGTGCAAGACATCGTGCAAAGAACCCTTTGTGGCGTACTCATAGGCTAATATTCGGTTGTTTTGTTCGAGGCAGTAGCCGAGCAACCCCACAAAATGTTCGTTCTTAAGCCTTGAAACCACGGATAACTGTACATAGAGCACACATATAATACAAAAAGCACTTTTCATCATAAAACAAAGCTTCTCCCTCTCTCTCTCTCTCTCTCTCTCTCTCTCTCTCTCTCTCTCTCTCTCTCTCTCTCTCTCTCTCTCTCTTACCTGGGCTGTAAAATCAGAGTCTGGCTCGGGTGAGGAACTGGTATCGAGCTTCTTTATGGCAGCTTCCTGGCCACTGCTCAACTTGGCGTAAAACACACGACCGTAAGATCCTTCTCCAATAAGGGCTTTGGTCCCAAAATTACCCGTTCGTCTGTTTATATCGTCTAACGAGAGTGCAGGTATCTCGATCGGCAAAACTTTCTGGGGTGGTCCATTTCTTGCAGCTGATGTCCTTGGCTCTCCTCTATCATTGCCTTTAATACCCGAANNAAAAAAAAAAAAAAAAAAAAACCAAAAACAGGAAATAGAAAAACAATAGATGATGATCAAATAAAAATGTTAACTTTAAGAAAGTAACTTGAATCAATAGGACTAAATTCAAACATTAATCAATAGAAGATCTGCAGATGAAAAAGAAGGAACTATAGAAAAAAAGTTACCTCCACCGGCACCACCAGAATACGGGTTATTACCGGATTTGGGTGGGGCTGAGAATTGATTGGCCGGAGGACCACCGTTGGGTTCCTCCTCTGCACCTCCACAACACAACATCCTCCCTCGGATTTTTTGTTACGGACGCACGCCAATCACAACGGCTGCAAATTCAGGCAAACCTCACACGAATCAACGTTTCACATTTGCAACTTTTTGGAAGAGGCAAACTCCCACAATTGCATATAAAGATAAAGTGTTAGGCCAAATCAATCAAGAAGAAAGAAATACATGATCAGATTATCCGAAAGTAATGTATAATACCAAAATCGGAACCTTGCGAATAAAAAAAATTTAAAGAAAAAGGGATCAAAAGAAATGAACCTTCGAGAAGAGAGTCAGAGAGAGATGAGCAACAAGAAATGGAGGGAAAAAAAGAAAGTGTCTCTATTTTGGGGTAAAAAGGAACAAAGATTTCATTTTTTTTCCTCTGTATATTTTTGTTCAGCGGGAAAGTAGCATGCAGAGGCTTTTTCAACCGCTAAAAACTAACACAGAAAGTCTCCTACGTACCAGCCTTGATCTTGCACGTCCAAGTCAAATTTTTTAATACAATTTATTAAGGAAAAAGAAGAAAAAGATTGAATTTTTAACATTGTTTTGCACTTGATCAAGTGCATAGTTCTCATAATTGACATGTCGAATCCAAGTATTGAAATTCCGTTAAGGTCACGTCTACATTCCATTAATTATGGCTTTTTTATATTGTATGTTCACTAAATCTTTCACAAATTAAAAAAAGAAACGATCATTCAAAATAAAATATAAATAAACCATAATAAATTAAATTAAATCTTGTAAAATCGAGTAGTAAAAAGAAAAGAAAAAAAAAAACTCTTGTAAAATTAAATCATTATTTGAAAAAACCTCATAATGGTATTGGGTGAATTCAGAATTTAATATAGAACCAGTGTAGGCATAGACCCACATTGAATTTTACAAGTGAATTTTTAAGACTAAAGGACGCGTGTACATCTACAATTAACACCAATTCCTATATAACGAGACACAAGTTTTTCTCACAAAATATAACTTTTCATAAAACTTTTTCGTCAAATTAGGAGATCTAGAACAACTGAAAACAAAAGTCGCTTAAATCCTAATTTTTCGTGAGCGACGCTTAAATAAACTACATCTCGTTATTGATCTGATAGCGATTGTATTGGATCTGCTCTCCTACCCACAATGGACAGGGAATTAATATGCCAACAACTTATGTGGCATGTACACATTGAACATATTAATTCTCTCCCACTGCTTAGCCTAAGCGGTGGACATTTTAATTCCTTGCCCACCGTGGGTACCCACGGAGCAGATCCAACGATTGTATTACTCTCAGTTTTCTCTCATTTCCTGAGCAGCGGCGATGTCCTCGGCAGATCTGACGGTTCTGACACCTTCGCCACAGCTGTCGACGGCTGCGACAACGTCTTCCACGTGGCCGCGGTGGCGGACTTCGAGGAGAGAGAGAGCGAGGAGGTGAAGGCCCGGCGGGTCGCCATCGGAACCCGGGCCATTCTACAGGCATGCGGCGCCGTTAATCCTTCAGCTCGATCTGGCGCCCCCGCCGCCGTTAACGAGAGCTCGTGGGCCGACGTGGAGTTCCTGAGGTCGCTGCGGATGTTTGTCGAGGCTTATGTGGTGACGAATACGGCGACCAAGAAATTGCCTCCGGAATTTGGGGAGAAATATGGATTGGATGTGGTGGTCGTGCTGCTGTGGTGGGTCGTCGAGCCCTTCATCTGTCCATGCTGCCCCGATTCCATTCAAGTACTCTCCTCCTATATCTTTATTTACCATATTTGTTTAATTTGATTGGATAAAATATGATGCAAAGAAAAATAGATATGGGAATATATATATTTTTTTTTTTTTTCAAACGACAATTATATTAATAACTTAAAAACTCAAAAGAGTACAATCGAAGTGTCAAAAGACACACTGGAACCAGAAAACTGGACCAACCCCCCTTGTCAACACATACAAGGGGGTACAAACTTCATCAAGGAGGCGAACAAAAACTACAAAAAAAGAGACACATACTCCATAAAGAAGATAAAAGCAGACAGAGCTGCACTAAAAAGCAAACATAGCTGCACTAAACGAAACATCCAAAAGAACAAAAAGAAAGAAAGAAAAAACATACACCTAATTAACAAATAAACTAGGACCTCCCCTACACCTAACAAACCAAACACTCGGCCACCCGAGACCGCACATGAGCCGCTACTACTAGCATAGAAATCCAACAAAGCCCCAAACCAAAACTTCAAGCCCGAAAACTGCGCCACTCGTGTCGCCTAGTCGGATTTGATGAAGAGTCTGCTCTCAATTTAGATCTGCACTCCGAAAAACCATCCACCCTAGAGGAGAAGAGGAGTCGCCCCGAAGTTGTCGAAAATCATGCCGGAGAGCTCGTAAAGGGTTCAATTGCACAGCCGAGCTGAACCCGAACACCACACAAAGAGAACCCGAACCCCGACGCACCAACAACCCAAAGAACTCCAGGGGCTGGGGCCTGACACGAACGACCGACGATCTTTCCGTGGCCAGGGAGATGGTGGATCTGCAGGCCCCAATCCGAGCCATACACCCATGAGGCCACGGAAACAGCGGGAAGAAGGACCACCAGCCCTGACTCGGTGGAAGCCGGCCCCGACGACGCAGATGTTGGTTTCCGGTGAAGGAGGGGCAGCAAAGATTAGGGATCTGGACTTGTTGCAGAGGGCTTTTTTTTTTTTTTTTCAGCGAAGGAGAGGTCACAGAGGGATTTAAGAGTGACGTCTAATGAATCGAACTAGATATGGGAATATAATATCTGTCGTTTTTGCCATATTTATATATGATCTTATGGTCTCAGGTTTTTGCCAAGAGAGTGGCTAAGAGTGAGGAAGGAGTTGTCTCCACTTGATGCAGCAGTTCTCATTCAGAAGAGTTTTAGGGCTTATCTCAACCAGACGTCTCAGGCTCTATGTTCACTTCGTGAGATGGCCGTTGCCAAGGCCAAGTTGAAGGAGATGAAGGGTTTCTTCCACAACTTCTCCTGCCGCCGCCTTCCGGCTCATGATACTGAAGTCAGATGGAATTAAAGCCAACATTATGGAGGTACTCTGTGCTATCTGCAGATTATCAATCCATGAATATATATTTCTTTCGTCAATTTTGATTTTATTATATGTCTTTTGTCGAACTTGCAACAAGATCTTTTCTTTTTTACTTATGCTCATGTATGGAAAAATGGCCATGTTGACTCAGTCATTTTATGATTTACATATTCTAGTATGAGACTAAAGATCATACTTAACATTTTCATTTGTATGTCTTACTACAGTTGAATTGCAACCATGGTTCTATTCAATGTCCTTTTCTTTGGAAACCAATGTGCACCTTGTAAGTGCCCGTGAAGCTTGTTGGTGTTTATTACTTTAAACTTGTTAAAAGTTAAAACTATGTTTTTCAGATGTCGATGATATCACTTAGATTAAAAATTAATTACAGGATTTTGGTAAAAATAATATATCATCGAGCTTTTCGCAAATTATATGCGTCTGAGAAGGGAGTCCTCCTCTACCTGATGTGTGTAACACTTCTCAGATGGGTTTTGGTAAGAAAAATATTAATTGTTGTAAAATACTATATGAATATCGTGTCTGAGCTGAAACCTTTGGATAATTAGAAAAATCAAATCCGTAAGTGCCACAACTTCTTCTGATCACCCCTGAAGTTTAGTCATGATAGCTAGTGATCTCTAGAAATCACTCTTAAAATATTGCGAACACACATACCTGGCATGTAAGCGAAAAAATTGCAAAAGGGGTATCCAAATTTTTTAATGTGAACCGTGTAGTCTGGATCATTTTTGTAGTTAGGCAATTCATGGGTATTTTTGCAGTGTATCCTATAAGTATATAAGTATGTATGATGGTTAAAGTTAATTTTCTCCTGAAATACCTACCTCTTACAAGTATGAGCAAGTTTTCTTCAATGATCATTTACACGACTGACCATGAATTTTGTGGGGATATACATTACATAAATACCATTGTCTTTACAAATGCAGGATCTTGCTATTCAGTAGGTCTACGTAATAATCATTTGTGAGTGAGGACGCAATAAAAGGCATACTTTTTTNNNTTTTTTTTTTTTTAAGTTTCTATAGAAGATTTCGAGCAAATATATAATTTCAATTGAACAAAAAATTTTCAATGTTAGACTGTTTGCAAGCTGATTCTCTGCTTGGCTTGAGATTAATTAATATGTTTATTTTTATAAATCTGATTTTGGTCAATTTGCAAAATCAATTTGCATTGGGGGCAATATAGAATAATTGATCTGGGCAGAAAAGTTTTAATGGCTTCGGCCGCCTAGACATTTTTAGAATAGTACTATAACTGTAATAAAATAAAATTTATTTTGAATAAATAACATAAACAAAACAGGTTAAATGTTTATTTTACAAAGTTAGGTTTCCTCATGAATTGTTCTTCATGAATTGTTGTTTGCTCATTATTTCTTACTTTATAGCCACTTTAATATTGAATCATTTAATTGAATTATATTAGAATTTTTTGAATATTATATTATTAGTTATTTGCATTTTAATTGAATTATTCCCTTGTTTTATATTATTTGGTAAATTTTTATTATTAACTGCTCGTCTCTATCTGTGTTATATATCTGCTTATTATTGAATTGTTATGTGACTTTATGTATGTGTACATTATGTGCTTTAATTCATTTTGATGTCTGGTATATCTATTCGATTTTTTTTTTGTTCGATTTAGTATTTTTTATGCTAGATATGTTAATTATTCATAATAATCCCTGTAATTGTACGAATGCGAATGTAGTATAGAGTTGTTTTTCAATCAGTATCTCTGTTTATCCTCTGTATATTCATGCAAAAATTTTGAAAATAGTTGTCTTTTTATCTTTTAATTTCCACTACTGGCACCCAAGATATGGACCTATGTATTTTTCAATTATATACGAAATTAGTTTATCTATCCAGTAATAAATGTTTGTTACTGGATTAGTATTTATATTGGATTGTTAATTCAGATTCTTCAAAAATAATTTTATAAAAGTTTGTCGATTTGAAGTGGTTTAGAAAATTCTATTTTTTTTTTTTTTTTATTCACGTTTGTAAGTTTGTCAACTGGTTGCGGATTCACTAATCCAACAACCGACATCGGGTACAACAAATACAAGAATCAGATAAACAAAGGTGAGTCCTGTTAAATTGAAAATACTGCTTGTTTATATAGAGTTAAAAGTACAATCAAGATATACTATAGGATGAAAATATCGTGAATAGCTTCTGATATTAATGTTTGCTACGCTTTCGCAGGATATGTATCCGGAATGCATGATATGAGTATGATTGAAAGATGCACGATAAAAGTGAATTCAAAGACACCAACGGAATGGACAAAGAAGACAACACAAATACTGACAGCATTATGGAAAATGGTAGTAATTATTCTGAACTAAATAAATTAAGTTAATCTGATAATTGTAATCCTCATATTTGGTAAAGTTTTACTTACTGTTTGCAACTTGGAGAAAATTAATTTATATAATTTTATCATCTTCGTTTGCATGTGAATTCGAGAAATGATACCGAGATTGGATAAGGAAAATATAACAATCGGAAGACTTCCAAGTTCAAAAAACAGATAAACAACAATGGCTATAAACCAAATGTGTTACAGGTTTGTTTGTGCTTCTAATAGTCTTATATTATTTCGTTCATGTTTTATATTAATTTGGGTAAACCTTTAAAATGTTCTAATTGCATGAAAAATATGAATCCAACCAGAAAACAACATACATCCATACTCGTTGATTGAGTGTCATAGTAAACTGTGCAAGGTAGGTACTGTTCTTGTTATCATGACAAACAAATATGAAATTGTGTTTTACAATATTTATTAAAAAAATTAATTGATAATTTTTAGTGCCTGTTTGTACAAAACATACATGGACAAAGACACAAAACAAACAACTCATCCCAAATTTACTTATATTCAGGTATGTTTGCATATATTTATACAAAATATCAACTAAGTAAACCATTACTTAAATATTAAAAATATAACCTTGGAATATATTAGACTCATTGGTTGTTCTGCTTCTTTTGTTGAATACTTATTTTGCTGCATTCCTATTACTGTCTGAATCCGAAAAAAGCAAAACTTGTGTTAGAATTTATATGAAAAATTATACATGTGATATAAAACTTCAATAATATACACTTACATATATTCAAAAACTTATTCTGTTCTTCCTGCCTTGTACTGTCAATTGTCATTCACACTATGTTAATCAGTGCAGATTTGTAAAAAGATTTTTAAATTAGATAACATTATATATATATATATATATGTATTTATATATGTGTGACCATGAGCAGGTTGCTGAGTACAGGCATGGAGGTGAAATTGTGGGAGTCATAAGGAGCTGCATAAAAACTGTGACAAATGGAAAGAAAATGTCAAGCACTCAAATCCCAATCTATGCGAAGTTGACTTACATTCTTGGCCTCAGAGTTTCATCCACACACAGGTTTAATTGAATTAAACTGAGTTATATCAAGAGTTCGATTAAAATTTAATTAATATATAGTAGCATCATAATATTTAAATTAAATTTTATAGTGTTTAATTCTCACATTGCTATTACTTAGGGAAAAATAAGTATATAAGTTTTATGTGACAAATCATCATATCACCTCTTGGTCATGAAAGATGGTCTCCATGAAATTCCTTTAGTCCATGTCGAATTGTCGTTTGCCGTTCTTGACGTGTATCCCAAAAAGACGTTCTTGGGTGTATCCATTTTTTTTTTCTCTGTATTTTTTTCCTCTATGCGTTTTATTCTCTGTATTTTGAAACTTGTATGAGTTGGAGAAAATGATAAAAATCTGAAACTCTATATATATATAGAGTAGAAATTCTATGGAGCCATCGGATTGTTTTCTTATGGAGCCATCCATCATTTAATGTTAACACATATCCAAAGTGTATTTATTGCAGGACACATGTCAATACACCATTTGTGAATAACTATAGAAGACTCCATAAGCCGAGACTCCATAAGCCGAGCCATCTGATGGCTCCATAGCAAAACTGATATATAGGGTTCCCCTTCAAAATAACGTGCATACAGTAAGGGATCGTTGTTCTTTTAAATCGCAAATAATATGGCACATGTTTTAATAATTAGAAAATTTGTTAGCGATATATCAGTGCAAATTTGTTATAGATATATCAGAGCAGATTGTGGTTCCTAATTAGTCGTACGTGAGAACAGATTTTATTGCGGTAATAGATATATATCAGTGCAGATTAAGCGTGAATAGATTTTAACTGATTCCTAATTAATCGTATCGTGGGAACATATTTTATTGATATATCAGTGCAAATTAAGTGTTAATAGATTTTAACTGATTCCTAATTAGTATCGTGATAACAGATTTTATTGCGGTAATAGATATATCAGTGCAGATTGGAAAAGTGTGAACAGATTTTAATTGAAAATGCGTTTTACCAGTGCGGTCTCAAATTTTAATTAGGAAATGCGAGTAAAAAAGAAAAAAAAAATGGATTTCACTCTGTGAATTATGGAACCTGAATAGATTATCAGTTAAAGAAAAAGAAAAATTGCTAAATTGTGAAAACAAAGAAAAATCTAGAATTTTTTAAAGATGTTTCACAAATAGAAAGTTAAAGTTTTGACTTAATTATTTTAGGTTTCTAAAGAATATAGATATAGATATAGATATAGATATAGATATAGATATAGATATAGATTCGGTTAGTTTGGAAGTAAATTAATTTAATTCTCCTTGGTTTTGTCTAGGCCCATTTGATTTAATTTGGCCCATTGGAATTAAAAACCTGCAGCCTTATTTCTCCTTTTTCCTCACGTGCACCGACATGAGTCCTTCTCCCTCATCGTGTTGCGGTTTTTGTGAATTTTTTCCTCGAACGTTCACGCGTTAATCTCTCACTCGTCTCTTATATCTCGGCCGAGAGAGGGCGACTTTCCCTGCACATCAAATCGCACGAGTTTTACTTGCACCATC